GAAATTTTTTCACGCAGTCATGTGATTTTATTTATTTATTTTTGTTTACATAGCATGTATTTCGAAATTTCATCACACGAATATATATCTTCATGATAAAAGAATTGAATATATCTGTATTTTATATAAAAAAATGGCAAATACACAATCTAAAGATGATTCATTAAGAGAATTGAATTACAGACTTGTAGCCAAGATTACTGAAATTAAAAGGAAATATGCTGAGGTTGAAGCTGAAAATGCTTCACTTAGAAATAAAAATGCTAATTTCTTGGCTAAGAAAATGGGGCTTTTGGCTAGAATCATGGAATTGGAACAATCTGCAAAAGAGAATGAAAATAACACGAAATTAAGAGATGCTGAAATCAATGAGCTTAGATCCAGAATTTTGAAATTAGAACAGATGCAGTTGCAAAACAATACTGTAGATAAATTAGACGTCAGAGTTAATTCTTCTGAGAATATCATTAATAGACTCGATCTTGTTATAAACCAGTGCATTAATACTAACTCCAAATTATTAACAGATGATACTAAGGAAATCAATCATTCCTTGATTAATATTACCCCTTGTAAGAAACGAAGCACTATTTATACAGACATAACAAACTCTGGTGATACTTCTAAACAGATAGAAAATAGTTCCGACAATATATCTGATTTTGATATATGCCAGGAAAAGGATAGCCAATCTTCTGCATATTCTATTCTCCTGAAACAAATTTTAGCAATATTTATAAGCAGACGGTCTTGCAAAATGAGGAGGCTCCAGCATCTAATATATCTGACAACACTTTAAATTCTGATGTGCATCAGGAAAAGATGAAGTCTCAAATCTCTGTATTATCTATCAGCACAGAGACCAAATTGTTAAAAGATAAAGATATAGATGATTTCTTGGAAATGCAGAGAAAAGAAAACATTAGTAACACAATAAAAGAAAAAAAACAGGAAAAGAAATTTCAAGACTCTAGCTCTAATTTATCAGAACAGTCCTCTTTAGAGCAAAATACTGATTTACAAAAAATGCAAACTCCCAAAATAGACATACACCCTTTAATACAAGAATTA